GACTGAGGACCAGAAAGTGATGCTGGCCAGGGCCAGATTAATGCATAGGCAAACTAGGCACATACCTAGGGCCCTGAGCTGTGGGGGGCCTCAGTCCTTCCTTCCATGGCAAATAGCCCTGTCACCTCCCTTCCTTTCTTCTCCTCTCTGCCAGCCTTGCTGTGGCTGCTTTCTAGCAGTGGCATGGAGCCCCACTCCCCCTGAGCAGCAGCACTGGGGTGGGGAGGGAGGTCTCGACTGGCTTGCAGCCCATGAGTTTGTTTGCCTAGGGCCCACTAAAGGGTTAATTCAGCCTTGATGTTGACAGTTGTTCCTTATGGAGTGCTCTACTAGCAAAGGAAAACCCAAGCCTGGTATGCTCTGGGTTTGCTCCAGAGCCTGCTAAAGTGCATTGCATGTGTTTTGGGGGTGGGCGGGGAATGACTGTCTGAGGCAGCCCTGCTGGTTTTCCACTACTACATGAAGAAATCCCGGACTGCCCTGTGGGAGCACCTTTATCCCATTAATGTCACGTTGTCATAATAGGGACAGAGGCAGGGCTGGGATCTGGTCTAGAGAGGGACACATATAGGGACAAGCAAGCAGTTAAACAGCAAGTTTCTATACAAGACCCATAGCACTACAGACCACCACTCTCCTGGTAGACAATTCTGCTTGGGCTCATAGAGGGAAGCTATAAATCCCTAAATTGAGGTAATTTAGCTCAATCCAGTAAAAAAAATTATCTTGGAAGGAATCAGGGGTAGAACTCTGCTGGTGCACATGTAGCTAATGTCACCTGCTTTTACTGACTGTGCTGCCAGTTTCCCAAAGCAACCAGGCTAGTAGCGGCTCTGCACCATCTTCTGGTGAGGTGCTGTAATAGCACTTACTGCATGCAGTTCTCCCCAGAGAGCAGCTGGTACGTACATCCTCTCTGGGTCCTGGTATGGTTTATCTTAGCAGTCATGAGACTATGTTTCCACCTGCAGAGCTAGATCTTAAATACTGGAGGTTGGAAGTGAGAGAGGAATAGTAGAAAAAACCTGCTCATACCCAATTGACTCTTCCTTTCAGCGTCTGCTCTCTGTCACTGTATCACACAGGCCTATTTGCTGCAGTTGGGAAATGTGGACTTAGACTCACCATGAACAACTATAAACCCCCCTTAAAAAGGGAGGCCACTGCGAATGCAACAACAAATCTCTTGGGACAAATAAAAAAGAAAACAGGAATGAGAGTGAGGGTTACAGGTTAATAATAAGGGATCCAGAAGGGGTCACTGAACTGGCAAACACTTACTGCCCCCTGAATGAGTCAAAGGAGCCTGTGGATGCCAACCAGTGAAACTGCCTGGAGACATGAGCAGAGGAGTAAGAAGATGACCACCTCACCCTCTACCAGGTTTCTCCTGGCCAAAGGTCCTTCCCGGTCTTGTAGGGGGCCAGAGCCAAGGGGAGGAGGTTGACCAGGAGGTATTGGGGCTTGGTGGGGCCATGGATGGGAAATGCATAACAAAAAAGGTGCAGGGAGAAGTGCAGCCAGAACCTCAGCAGCAGGTTCTGGAGGAGGTAGAAGGGTTGCAACCTGGTGCACTCAACTTAGGTATGTGCCAGGGTCTCCCTCTGTTGGAAAAAAAGTTCAAGTGTTTGCATGACACAGGACTTTTAACATGTCAAAGGGAATTGTGGGCCTAGGTTCACCAAGTAAACGATAAGCCCCTTTGGTAATGGGGGCCACTAATGACATGGTACTGATTCCTTGGGACAAATAATAATAAAAAAGGGGACAGGAGTGATGGTCAAATGTTAAGCACTAGTGCACCCAGGGGGGACACCGAGTAGAGCACTCTGGACAGTACCCACTGGCACTCAAACAAGTCCAAGGAGCCAGTAGACACTGGCCAGTGATACACTGGTTGAAGACAGGATTGAACCAGGGACAGGAAAGTTGTCCTGAAGTCCTTGGGGTGCCTCCTGGCCAGAGTCTCCTTTCTGGTGAGATATTCCTTAGCCAAGGCCAGGAGAAGGTTGACCAGGAGGGTCCGGGGACTTGGTGCAACCTCTGATGGGGAGTGCATAAATAAACAGGTGAGGGAACTAGAGCAGCCAGAACCTCAGCAGAAGGTTCTGGAGGAGGCGAAAGAGGGGTTGCAACCTGGTGCACTCGAGGTAGGCATGTGCCACGGTCTCCCTGTACTGGCAAAAGGGGCAGGTGTCTGTATGATACAAGCCTATTTGTTGCCTAGAGACCCTGGGTCAGTGCCCACAAGGAAACACTATAAGCCTCCCTTAGAAAGGGAGGCAGTTAGGTAGGCAATAACCGATTGCTTGGGACAAATAAAGACACCAGGGATGGGAATGATAGAGGCTTAAAACTAGTGTGCTGGGGGAGGGGGGAGGCACTGAGCAGAGCATACTGGACAGCACCTACTGGTCCTCAAATAAGACCAAGGAGCCAGTGGACAATAACCAATGATACTCTGCCAGGAGGTGGGATTGAACCAGGGAAAGAAAAGTGGCCCTGCATTCCCCAGGGGTCCTCTTGGCCAGAGCCTCCTTCCTGGTAAGATATACAGCCAGCTTAGCCAGGGCCAGGAGGAGGTCCTGGGACTCGGTGAGGCCACAGACAGGGAGTGCGTAAATAAATAGGTGAGGGGAGAAGTGCAGCCAGAACCTCAAGAAGAGGTTCTGGAGGAGGCGGAAGAGGAGTTGCAACCGGGTGCACTCCAGATACGTGTGCGCCAGGGTCCCCCTCTGTTGGCAAAAGGGGCAGGTGTCCGCATGACACAGGGCTAGGCCCACTAGATAAACTAAGGGAGGCTACTGAAAAAGCAACATCTGGTTACTGGGACAAATGATAACAAAACAGGGATGGGAGCGATGGTCAAAAATTAATAACTAGTGTGCGGGGGGCGGGGGGCGGGGCACCGAGCTGAGCACCTTGGACAGCGCCCACTGCCCCTCAAACCAATCCAAGGACCAGTGGACACTGCCCAGCGATACTCTGCCCGGACACAGGAACATACTAGGGGAAGAAAAGGGGCTCTGCAGTCTGTGGGGACCCTTGCAGCCTGAACCTCCTTTCTTAGCCAGGGCCAGAAGGAGGTTGACCAGGAGGTCCTGGGACTCGGTGGGGCCACGGACAAGAAGTGCATGAATGAAGAGGTGAGGGGAATAGAGCCAGGTTCTGAAGGAAGTGGTGCAGGGGCTCCAGCCTGGCCCACACCAGGTACACCTGCTCCAAGGAGGGAGCTCGGCTGGCAACAAGGACAGGCGTCTGCACGACAGGATGCTGGGCAAGATGGACCTAAGGTCTGAACGAGTAAGTGGCAGCTCTTATATTCGGGGGCTTCATCGGGTGACAAAAGTCCTGTGAGGAAACAGACCCTTCGTTTCGGCTGGCGGCTCCTGGCCGGCTGCGCTGGGTCATGCGGCAGCGGCGCTCTCCACCACAGCGGCAGGTGCCCAGGGCCCGGCGCCGGCTCCCC